GCCCCCCCCCCCCCTCAGCTGTCCTCTTTTGTCTTATGACACGTCCCTGGGAACCTGATCCGAGTGGGATTAGGAGAAGGCATTGGGGACAGAGGGCGCCTGAAGACAATAGCTGGCCCACCCCCAGGGGCTATTTCGGGGGACGCGTGGACAGGAAGACAGGAGACATCTCCTAAAAAGGGTCTCGCCTGTGTGTGTGAGGGGGGGGCTCCTGGGAGAAGACACCCAAAGGCCAGGAGGGCAAGGTCCTCTCCCACCCCTGACCCCACCCTCCTGTCTGGCTGGGCTCTTCCCACCCGTCTCCTTCACCTTCATCCCCAGCCTGGGGGGAGGCAGGGTGCCCCAAGAGCAGCGTCTCTCCGCAGGCCTCACCCTCACTCCTAAATAGACCCCCCCAATCCCTGGCACCCCCCCGACCCCGAGGTGCCTAAATCCCAGTGCCCACAGATCCTGACTCGCCCAGTGGCTCACCAGGCTCGGCCCGGACTCAGAGACCCCGGTTTGACACCTCCTGAGCTCTGAAACCTCGCGATCGTGAGACCCCAACACCCGTGCCAACCTCAGAGCCCCAATTCCCAACGCCCCTGATGCTGACAGGAGAGGTTCCACCCCCTCCAGTGGCAAGAGCACAGACCTTGACCCCTCAGCTCCTAGAACCCGGTTCGGATCCCCTGTCCCTGACCTTCAGGCCATTGGACTGACACCCAAGCCCAGACACCCCCAAGTTCTGAGATTCCCTGACTCCGGCTTCCGAGGGCCTAAGGTTATTTTCTGGGACCCCCCAATCCAGGCGCCCCCAGATTCCGTGTCCCCCCAAAGGCTCATCTCCAGGCCCCTCTGCCTCATGCCTCTTCTCCACACCCCGCCGCCTCCCACCCTCATCGCAGGAAGCCTTACCTAGGGCTGGGTGTGCAGAGGCATGAATGTGAGGGGCAGCTGCAGCACCCCTTTTATAGTGAGCTCAGCCCCGCCCCCAGGGGGAGGGAGAATTCCTTTCCCCAAACACTAGTCCCCCCAAGTCCCCCCCTCCAGGCTGCCCCGCCCCCACTCAGGCTCCAAGACAATGATCCAGGCCCCTCCTGGCCGCTGAGACCCTTCTGCACCCCATCAGCGCCTCCTGGGGGCTCAGGGCTGGGCCAGGGACCCCGTGCTCCCCGCCGCCGGGAGGAGACACTACCCGAGGTGGCCCTCTCTGCTTTGCAGTCCCTGGGCTCAGCACACAGAGGCACTTAGAGAATGCATTAGTTTAAGAAATATATTTTTATTGATGTCAGAGAGGAAGAGAGAGACAGAAACATCAATGATGAGAGAGAAGCATGGATCAGCTGCCTCCTGCACGGCCCACACTGGGGATCGAGCCTGCAACCCGG